CCCCCCCCGTCTCTTGACTGCCTCCTCCAAAACTTCCCTGCCCCTTCTCCTGCCCCCTGCCCCCCTTACCCTGTTGGGCTCTGTGCGGAGCCCGACACGTGGCTGCGCTCCCCAGCGCAACACACAACCCGGTCCCTGCCCCCGCACAGTGCTGCCGGAGCGGGTCGCTGGGGAGAAGGAGAAGTGGGGGGAGGAGGAGCTGCCGAGGCCCGATGCAAACGGCCCGGCAGGCCGGCCGGCTCAGAGTGCAGGGAGTGGGGGGGGGAGGAGGAGCTCTACAGCTGCTCCGGAGTCCAGCCCGGCAAGCTGCGGGGGAAGGGCTCTGGCTGACAGAGCCCCATGCGAGCGGCTGACTTTCCTGCAGCCCTCCCAGCCGCGCCTCGCTCTGCCTGGGGGGGAAATCCCGGACATCTTTAGTGATTTGCAAATTCCCCCCCGGACGCTATTTTTAACACAAAAAGGAGGACATGTCCGGGTAAATCCGGACGAATGGTAACCCTAATGTAGAGACACCCTATTTTGACAAGTGTCTTTTGCAACCTTAGAATGGACTGTTTCTCTTCTGGGAGGGGCTCTGCTTAGCAACTTATTTCTTAGCCATTATGGGCTCAGTCCTGCACGCCCCACCCCCCACTCACATGAGGCTGTACCGCAGTCACCGAGGCGTCCCTCTGATTTCACTGGCGTAAGGTACTATCAGCATGAGTCAGGTGACAGCACTGGGCCTCTGATGTTTATAGCCTGTTTTCTGTAGTTTTACTCTGTCCTCAATGATTAGTCTGTTATGTTGTTTTTCGCTGTGAGAGGGGGAATTACGCCTTTCTGCTCCTCACTTGCTCAGCTGAGGAGTTGGGTGCTGCCCCTTTTCTTTCCTGCTTGGCCTCTTTCAGTGGGTCCTTTGCCACTAGGCACTGAGTATCTCGTAGACGTGCAGAGAACACCTCTTGGCTTCAGCGCTTGGAGGGGTCAGGTCCAATGCTTGCTGCTTGCTGAGTCTGTCCAGGCAGGGCTCAGAGGTTCCATGACCAAAGCTATCTAGGATATAAGGAAGCCCCACACTGGTAAGTGATGCAAGTTGTGGCAGCCAAGTCCTATGTCCAATTAGTGAAGCTAATGTGATGGATCTTTGCAACAGAGAATGTAACAGAGATTTTTCTGCCCCCAGTTTACCCAGGGCAAATGTCCATCATCCTGGATCCCTCTTCTGCTAGTGAGCAGTGTGCCCACACCCCCTCCTGCACCCCAACCCCCTTCCCC